TCTACACACTCACATTCCTGCTGGGCCTGACCCACACCAAGGGCCCTCCCCAAACTTAACGTCAAGTCTCCCGTCACCAGACTGTCACTCCCTTGTTAGGATTTGTCTGCATTGTTGAACTAACGAAATCTTCGCTCGTCTCGAAGGAGGGTGAGCACAGTGCCCAGGAGCTAGGTCAAGGGAGGCTCACTGCCACGTCCCTGGTCACTCTCGGGCCATCAGGAGCTACACCCTCAACCTCTTGCCTCCTTGGTGGCCATACGTACCAGTGCAGCTTTTCTCACTGTTGTACCAAACCTTTTTCAATCTTTTATAATCCCACAACTTTTTCTGGATTCTTCAGAAAAGAGAAAAAAGAGCCCTTCCTAGATTTAGCGCTAATATTTACCCAAATCTGTGAGCAAACAAAAACTGGAATCTGGGGCAGCAAACTGCTTCCTTTCCCGTCCTTTTTTATTTTAAAGAGGGTGTTAACTGAGACCTGCACATGGTAATTTAAGCATCAACACTCATCCTTTCCACTGCTGTCTTGCTGCGCCAAAAACCTCAGCAAATGCACTCATCTCATGACCACAGGCTGCCCCTTGGGAGCTCAGTACCCCAGGTAGCGCTTGCTGGGCTCTCAACCCCCTCAGACTTCTGCGATGCATGTGTGTATCATCAATATAACAGAAACATTTGTTCCTAATGTGCGTAATTATTTTAATAGCCCTGAAAAAAGCTTCACAACCAGCTGATGGAACAAACCATGCTAAGGAGAGTTTCTGCAAAAGCACAATCTCCCTGTAGAAGCCTGTGGAGAGGGAACCTGTAGGTATTCTAATTTGCAAGCATTTGGATCTGAAGTAATTCATGAGAGAAAGGAGCAATGCTAAGGAAATCCAGGGGTTCTCCGAGTTTTTGAAGTAAATCTGGAGAATATGGGGTGTGATACCAACTTCCACAGTGCATTAGGCAAATATTTGGCTCAGCACAGCTCAATTAACTTTGGACTCAGATATTTTCACAGAATGAAGGAAAGAGTCATAACTCTGTTATTAACTAAGAAATGGAAAAAGCAACAAAACATTTGGTGACAAACGGGGGAGGAATCCAAAACAAAATAAAACTCTCTGGACTCCAACTGAAACACTAATTAGAGACAATGCATAACCATAGCTAGAAAAAATCTGGAAGACTATGAATGTTTGTTAGTATTGTAGACTGGGTCCAGTACATTTCCCAGGAGTCTTAAAGAGTGCTTCAACTATCAGACAAGGACTCAAAATCTTTAAACGATATTTAAAAAACAACAAAAACAACAACAAAACTTTGCAGTTTTCAGAAGCTGGCTTTCTGCCTGTTGAAAGGTTTTCTCCCCTTGTTATTTCAAGACCCCCATGACTGAATGTAGCTGGCCCTGGATCTAAGAAAAGAGGCTGAGTTGTGTTTCTCCTCTGGTGTTTCTAAGCCTTGTCTAGCATTTCTTGCAGTCTTCCACTGTTGTGCTGGCACTGGTGCAGTGCCCAGAGGTGGTAGCAGCCATCAATCATGGTCTAACAATTGCCATCCCAGCTTTACAAAAGCCAAGGCAAGTACGTAGCTTTCCTTGCTCCCAGCAACATGATCCCAGTTTAGCTCTTAGCATACTCTGATCCTGAAATTTTTTCTCTTTCGTTTGTACAGAAACTAATTTACTGCCTGTATTTTCATTAATTTAATTTGAGTTGCACGGGTAAGCCTTTGCGAGAAGCCAAATTTAGTTGTACCTATCCCAAGTGGCACTAGACAACAATGAGCTTAAGAGTCCCTGGGACAGACCAATTAAGTGGAGCACCCTTAATTATATGTGCTGTTATATGAGTTCTAAGAATTTTCCCTAAAAAAACACCACTGACATAAAATAAATGCTTCTCAAACTTTGAATCAAACCTTATTCATCATCTGAGAAGTATCAGCAGTTGACTTCTTGGGGACTGAAGAAAGAAATGAGGTTCAGTCAAATTTGAACTTGATATAAGCAAAGCTAAATTCAGTGGAAACCCACACTGTTCTTGCTGACATCTGATCTGAATTTATAACAAAGAGAAATCTTTATTAATTTAATAGTAATAAAGCTTTACCATTTCCATTTAGCTCCAGTTTTGATTAGGTAAAAAGGAGTTGCAAAGTGCCTTGTAATGTATAGGGATATTGTGAAACACTGACATAAGTCTACTGTTTATCTACAGGTAAATACTGTGCAAAATGTAGGTCTTAGGGTACCTGTGTTCGTTCTTTGCACAGTAATTCATTTATTGTCCCATATTGGCATTAGAGTTTATTTCCATGTGTTTCCAAATTATATGATGATACAAATTTCATAACTGTGAGAAGACCCCAACTCTGCTGATGTATATTAAGAAACCAGCTCTTAGAGGCTCTCCCAGGCCACATGCTGCTCTCCATGCTCCTGTGAAGGCACTGTGGAACATCAGCGAGATTATTTACAGCAGGGGAAGCTCCTCACTCAGCGTCCTGTTGGAAGCTTTAAGCCCAGAAAGAACGACCCGGGTGTACGTTCTCAAAACCGAAATGCTCATACCCTATTCAAGTGTGGGGAACTATAGAATTAATCCAATTTAACCAAGCTGTGAGAAAACTCTTCTTTTAGTGAGATCAAATACTTGAGAGCTGACCTCCCAGGTCTGCTCCAGCCTGGCCACATCTCCACCCCTAGCTTTACACAGCACCCTTAGATCAACCATGAGCTAAAACATTTTGAATTGCTTTGATGCTAAACTTCTGAAAATAGCAAGTCTTTTGATGTTTGTGGCACGGATTTTCAAGTTGCCATGTGAATGCAACTTAATACGTTAAGTGAAAGCTCCCGGCTCTTATGGTTCAGTCCTCCCCAAACCCTTCCATTCCCAGCCTATAGTAGCCCTTTCAGAGGTGCGGGCTCAAACCTAATCCTCTGTGCACAAATACAAATTGCCATAACTTTTGAAAACAGCTGCTCCACACGGGCTTGGCACAGCAGCACATCTGTCTGCCACAGAGTGTTACTTGCATACTTATGGATTGAGGGTTGTTACCAAGCCCAGTTAACAGTAAAAACAAAACAAGGTAGGGGATGAGATGGTCTAGCAATGATTCAAACTTATCGGTAGGAAACTCCTTTGAAGGCATGTGGCACCTGACTCTCCAAGGGCCCCAACCTGCCATGTGAGACCCTCGCTGTGAGCCCAGCAGAGGCAGGTAGCACTTCATCATTCAGACACCGACACCCGAATAAGTGGATGTAAGTGAAAGCAAGCACACGGAGATGCTACTCACTGATTTCACATTGGTCTCCTTCATAGCCTGAAGGACAAATGCATTTTCCCAGATAGAAACACGTTCCTCCATTGAAACAGGTTGTGGTACAGTTTGCTGAAACAAATAAAACAGGAATGAACTAAGTCACTAATACGAACTCAGTCTGACTTGGCCTTAATGTTTTCTGCTGCTCATCATAAATAAACATTGAGTAGGTTTAAAAAAGTTACGTTAACATCTTTTCTTTTGGCTTACAAAGGAAGACTGAAACGCATTTTTTCCTACTTAATGCTTTACATAGGCAGACACACAAGTCAATATAGAAAGAGACAAGTGAACAATACAGCAATGAGATCCCCGAGGACAGACTGTGTTACATCTTTATCAATCCTCGCACGTAAAGCTCGTTGAGGGATCGAGTCACTATCGCTATTGAAACTGCCAATGCCTGATAAAAGGAGCACAACCTAGGAGTGGAAGTTACGTCTACAAGAGGATACTTCGCTACAGTTCTTAATTAATGCCTGGACTAGAAAGAAACCTCTCTAAGTTTTTGCTGTGTGGTGACAGAGATGCAAATGCTGTGCCTCCCACCTGCCAAATTACTTACATCGTGTTAGACGTGACTTTTCACCAAACCGCTGGGATTCACATTAATCCTTCAAGACACTGGGAGCATTTCGTTACAGCGCACTTTTGAAACATTTTTTAGATGTTGTAAAAGTCTCACCAAGGACTACATACAAGTCAGAAGGACATTAACAACAATAGTTTGTGCAAGCATACCTAAAGGCCTAGGAAGGTTCCCATTATTTTGCTGGAAAGTCCACTAGGACCTTTTGCATTTAGTCTTTACTTCATATAGTTCTGCAACAATAAATGCAGCGTGACATTCTGTAATCTGCTCTGCCATGAGCAGTTCAGTGTATCTCTGCAGGAAACTACTTGGTCTTTCCTACATGGTAGCTTGGACTGTTCAAAATTACTGTCTTGAGCTACTGATTGTTCCTCTTCATCCTTCCTGAGCCACAATGCAGCAACAAAAAATGAATAGCCTGCTTATTTTTTCATGTGTCCAGATGCGGCAAATTAATGTGCTAAATAATTAGTAAAACTAATTTTACTCCAGGAAACTAGCGTTCAAATAGAGATCATTTTTTTTTTCCCAGGCCAGAAATATAAGTGAGTTTTGTGGTAGGCCCCGCAGCTTTCAGCTGGATCAACTAAAGCGATTATCTAAATTACCCTTCGCAGAGCTGGCGTATACGGATGCCTGCACATTCAGCGGCTGCGAAAGCACTTCCAACAGCTCCCAGGTTGTGCTAGAGCATCTATATGAAGAATCACAAAACTTTTAAAACTTACTTATTTCATCACTTGCCTGACTTTCCAAAATTCACTCCTAGAGGGAAACTAAGACAGGGGAATAGAGAGAGGTGGCCGGATACGGAGCCCGGGGGGTTTTAGCCGGCACTTGCCTTTGTCGCAGTTGATGCCGTAGAACCCCGGGGGGCAGATGCAGAGGCCGGGCGTGATGCAGAGCCCACCGTTCATGCAGCGAGGAGCACACAGCGCTGAGGAGCAGGAAAAACAGAAAAAATGTTGCTGGTGTGACAGTTACTGTCTGTTTGAATACACAGCACATCGTCTCCTTAAGCTACTTTTCCTTCTGCTGAATGTAACGCCACCTCTGTAAAGCATCTTTGTAAGAGCGTTAAATTAATTACGTCTCTGGTTTGCATCTGGCAATTTGTATACAGCATTGCTAAAAAAGTGAAGATGAAATTATGTTCAAATTTGGTTCCATATCTAAGCAGCAATTGCCTCTTCTACAGTTTAATTCCAAACTGGGGAGAGCAAAGTGCCCACCTACACCCTCTGGATATTTGAAGCCCCCCTGCCCTCTGTAACTGGACTCTGGTGCCGCAGCTGGCCCCCGGCTCTGCAGACAGGGCTGTCTCTTTCGGGGCTGGGCTCACCAGTACGTGGGGTGAGGCTGGGTCCATACTAGAGAGTTAAACAGCATCCAGACATGGGGCCAAGTGGGGGCACAGGATCATCCATCCTGTGAAATTGCTGGTGCCATTCCTGGCACGGCTTTGTCCCTGGCCAACTGGCAAAGCCTTGAGGGCATGGCACCAGGGTAAGCAGAGGTCACGGGCTCCTTGTAGCAGGGAGTTTGGAGGGTGGTTTTTTTGGAGCGTAAGAGATGTGAATGCAAACTGCACCATCCCAGTTGGCTTCCAGGCCAGAGAACTCATTCTTTGTACTTAATGTTTCGGATGTAGCCAGAGCGTCTGGGAGCTCACTGAAGGATGCCATTGGAGTAGGATGGCCACGGGGATGGTTTGCTCCACCTCATGTCACCCCGGGGAGGGTCTACCACTGGGGGAGGTGAAGGAATAGATAGAAAGAAGAGCTAGTTTTCTCCCCAAGTCACACAATTTCTTGGTCCCTCGCTCCTGGAAATGTCATTTGAGGCTATTAATCTCTAATGGAAAGGAAAAGGAGACCCTTTCCTTCATCTTCCCATCTTTGTTGTCAGCCTTCCTCCAAATTAGATCTTATCTCCAAATTAGACATTATCTCCAAATAAACAAATGCGGAACAACAAAAGTCCTGTGCTTTGTTTCCCAGCTAGTCCTCATTAGCAGAAGAATTTTATTTGATCTTTTTACCAGATGGATTCCCTGTGATTAAAGATCACTTAACTATCGTGTCAGTTTTTGTTAAAAGCAATCTCTTAGGGATAAAACATCTTTCTTGTATGCAATTAATGTTTCCGTTAGAACATGGATGATGATAGTAGTTCTCATACATGTGTGGACTCAAAACATATGAAATCTTCAGAATAGGCCATTCTTTCAGGAGGGGCTACAGTGCAGTATCTACAGTTTTGTTGAGATTATGGTACAGACAACAGTTGAGAAGATTTTTTAAAAATTACCTTTCTCACAGTGAGGCCCATAAAATCCATCTGGACACTCACAGACATGCCTTTCATTGCAAAACCCTCCGTTTCTGCATCCTCCTGGACATTCCGCTTCATAAAATAAAACAAAAATCTTAATTGGATATTATATATTTCAACCGTCAAACACCTTTCAGTAGGATCAATATATTCCTTTGACACATCAGGAAAAATATTTGCTGACAGACAAATGCTGGCAGAAATGGATGTTCAGCTAAGACCTCCTCGAAAGAAATTAGGGGTTTTTTTGTTAGTCTGCAAATAGAGGTTTCATCACGTGTTCAGACAAATGCATGATGTGCTTGTTGACAGACTGTGCATTTCCACCGCTCAGCTGTTCTGTAAGTGCATGAGTAATGTGGATGCTCTGCTCAATCCAGCACTTTCTCCTCCATGCAGAAACGAGCAGGCAGTGCAGGACTTGCATCACTGGTTAGACCTGCCCTCAGTATGCAGGACCAGTTTCAGTTTCCCCAGCCTTAAGTAGACTGCACTGCAACTTGCATTGCATTAATTGCTGCATCTGTTACTACTGAGGCGTCAAAGTGATGAAATCTCTGTTGAAATGAAAGAGTCAGCTTCGAGGCTAGAGGAAAGGTGGCCAGAAAGGAAGATGAAAGCATTCATGCACAGTGGTCCTATATCATCATCCAACTCATTCACATCTCAACTATCAATCAAACACTGGGTAAAGTGTTTGGCTACATTGGCTGTATTATGCAGGGACAACAAATACCTCTGGGTACCATCACCATCCTCAAAACATCAAAGTCCATTGGAAAAGAGGCAAAACAAACTGAACCCTATGGAAGCCTGTGAAAACATGACTGCTGGGTAGAAAAACAATTGCTCAAAAATACCTTCCTAGATCTCGCACAGAGAAGGCGGCAGGCAGGCTAGGCTGCCTACTCCCATTAGAAAAAGTGAACATCACTTGCGATCAGTGCTACCAGGGCTACAAGGCAGCTTTAGCAGGGTAGGCACGACCTGCTCATCTGGATGCTCTGCTGCGTGACACTCCAAGTGAGAAGGTTCAAAAAGCTCTGGGGTAGACCAAAACTCAGACAGCAATCTTACTGCAGCCATCTCAGCCCAAACATGAAGGTCATCTATTAGACAGCACTTGGCTGTAATGTTGGCATCACATCTTTTTCTTTTTCCCTTAGTGTAACCGTGCTGTAAACATCATGACTGACAGCACCTGCCAACAGCATCCTCACTTCTTCTCCATAGCCTTCTCACCTGATTTCATCGGGAAGTGCTGGTACCTACCATCCATAGGCTGTAATGATGTACCATTGATTCACAGTGATTCCCAACTGAATAATACCTGAGTCCAAATTCAAGCAGTTATAGCCTTTAAAGTGCCCTTGTTTAAAGCAGTAAGGAGTAGCAGGATGTCTATAAATTCAAGAGGGTCAGGTTGCCTGAGACTTTTTTGCAGCCCGCAGGGATTCTTTAAACTTTAACTCCCATTAATACAGAGGAAAACATAACCCTGGAATGATTCTCCCTTCTGCCAATATTTCAGTCAGGTGACATATCTGTTAGCTAGACTCATACACAAATAAACTTTTGCTTTTGCAAATTTGTCTAATAGCTGATTAGAAGCACAGGAAACGATGGCTGCTATAACTACGAGCAGTATTCTGCACTCACGTTACAGCTCCCTATTTAGTGGGATGCTAAGGGTAACTCCAAGACTAAGTGAAAGGAAAGAAAATCTGATGTACCGGTCATGTGGCTGGATGCTGTGTACAACTGCCAAACAAACAGGAAAGAGAGAGGAGGAAAGGTGTAATTTTAAAATGCTCTTCCATCCAAGGCCATAGCTACATGAAGCAAAAAGTGTTGCTTTAAAAGTAAAGCTGTTTGCAGCAGTAAGCAATAGCGGTGAAGGCTTTTTTGTCTTTTTGTGTTCCAACTCTGTACTCTAAGGCGCTTTCTGGAAATGCTTCTCTCTTTGTACCCGAATGCAGAGCTGCTATTCATTACAGAAAATGCATGCTTGAATTCATACCATTTCAAATAGAAATATAGGAAAACATAATTTTTTGTCTGGCCGTCTCTCAGCCACAACAAAGCCTCTCCTCTCCCACAAAATTGCTCCCTCACTCCCCTCACTTCCTCTGGTGGGGGCCCTTCTGGATGGCCAAGAATGACTGGAAACAGTGACCGGGGCCCCGGCAGGAGGAACCGGAGCTTCTTGCCATGAACGACATCTTTCAGAGGAAGGAAACTCACCCCTACTCTAACGCTAACCGGTAAGGACATTCTCATCCTTCTCAGCATCTGTCCCAAAACACTGGGGTGCTCAGCACACCGGAGGGAGGGCAGGAGCGGGAGTTACCCCAGCAGGTGCTGGAAGAGACGAGGTGAGAAACCTCCGCCTCTGCTCACCTCTAGAGTTTGGGAAATCGTCCTTGCGTCTCTCAGCTGGCTCCGAGACAATAATCACCCCCAGCTTTCCTGAGGGGCCATAGGATGCAATACTGCTAAACTGTTAAATAGTACATCTCATATCAAAATAGTAACAACAACAACTAATAGCACAGGAAACGGTAACTTGGATGAATGCTACTAGCGGCTGAGTTTGGAGCCCTCTCTGTTCAAGACATGTTTTTCCACAATACGGACCTCTAACTCTGCTTTCCCTATTAGATGACCCCAACACTATTCCCAAAGTTTATTAAGTTCAGTATCTTTGAACTGAACTGAAAATAAAAAGATAGCAAATGTTCTGCGTTGTATTTACATCAGTCACCCACTTCGTACACGAGATCTGATTGATTTTACTTCCATTAAGCCCTCATTTTCCTTCCTGTTTCTCTGCCCACTTCTTCTCCCGCTCCTCCACTTTCTCTGGGCTAATTTGCAGCAGCAAAGCTTCAAAGGAGGCGAGCAGCTTTGCTATTTAGGTATAGTGAGGTTGCAAAGAACAAACAGCTCCTGCTCCTGCTCCTCGCTCTTTGAAGCCACACTAGAGCCAATTAGCTCAGAGAAAAGAGCACAGAGAAGGAAGTATGGGACTGGGAACGCAGATTTAATAGGAGAATAAAAAAAAACCCTCATTCTTTGTACATCAGCACTGTCGTGGGTTAATTCGATACAATTGCACACAACATGGGATAACTGCCTTATCTTAGGTACTGATTTTTCAATTTCCACAGCCTCCGTTTAAAGTGATAATTATAGTTGGTTGCAGTGTATCAAATTAATCCAGAAAGTCTTATTACATAGTGTTTGTGGTTCATAGATTGGTTGATTAAACATGTTCCCTCCTTTCCAAGTAAACACTGCAATAACTTCATGGTTGCCCTTCTTCTGCCAGCACATCCTGTGTGTGTTTACTGCTTGATGACTGCAAGTATTGAGGACCAGCTTCCACCACCTTACCTGTATCCAAAACCAAGAGGTTGCCATCTCAGCTCTGGAGAAGGTAAAGCCAAATTTTGCAAAAATGTTCTGGTTTATGATTTTGCTTTTTATTGAAGCCAGTGTCCACCCCCCGCAGATCCCAGGAGTTCAGTTCTCCAAATTTTGTACCACTTCTGGAAAGGTTAGCTTCAGCTTGTTTTCACAGGACTAGCTCTCCTCCAAGCACCTCAAATCATTTGGTAGCAGGTGCTTCTCACATGATAGATTTCTAAGTCCTTGATGCGATGAGCTGGGAACAGGAGGAGAAATGCCTCCAACCCAGTCAGCTAAGTGAGACAGTTGACAGTAAGAAAAGGGTTAGTAAACATGTGGTAAATGAACAGCAAATCCACAGGCAGAGCCAGAACAGCCTGGCATTCACTGCCACTGCTACACATCGGGTGAGCACTTTATCTCCCCCTTCTCTAGCCATTCTCCTGAATAAAACATAAGAAAGTTAGGGGACTAGGTCTAACGCTATGTCGGCATGTCCTCTCAGCGTTACCTTGCTGACAGGTTTTAAAGAAGATGGCATTCTGAGGGGTCTGGAGAATAATATTGCCTTCTGAATTCATTATGATCACATTCACTTCAAATGCAGCGACCCCATCTTGTTTTCCAAGGCAAGGAAATCCAACCTGAACGACTTAAAGGAGAATAATAACAGCAATAAACATTTATATCTACATGCACATATATCTCTATAAATATAAAAGAATACATTGAAATATTTTTAAATATAGATAATATTTATATTTAAGCTTTAGAGTAATGCCGTTGATGAAAACCTGTAAGACAGAGGTACACAGATCACCTTATTCACAGGTGGCTCCGGGGCTGGAAGTACAGCAGCACAGGAGACGAGCCTGCGCTCATTTACTGACACAACCCCAGCTGCCTGCAGCACAGAGCGCGATCTTAACACAAGCATACTTTTGCTTGCAGACGAGGCAATTACGCATGTGGAGGTATCTAAGGATACACTAAAACAAGCTGGAAGCCTATATTTAATTTTCTAAGCTGGGTTAATCATTTCTGAGTCTAAATTTTGCAGGCTTTCACACGACTTCTGCAAAAACATCTTACACATTTTGGAAAAAAATGTTACTTCAAATATATTTTGCTCTTTTGGACATTGCAGTTAATACTTAAATAAAATGCTGATTTAATTAAAACTTACTCCATAAAGTGCTGGCAAGATGGTACACTTGATAAATAAGATCATGGGTGCAAATATTTAAAAAGAAGACAGAGACACATCACTCTGACTGAACTTGTTAAGTGTAGCAATGTTTGGAGATTGCCTTTCCAGGAAAAGTATTCAAACACTTTTGAACTACAAAGAGTTTAAGTAAATAATTAAGGCCAGTAAATCTGGAGTATTTTAATGAGGAAGCAAGCCTGATACCTCAGAGCTTTGGAATGCTCCTCTGTGATTGTCACAAATGATCTTAAATAATCCTCAGCTAAAACGATTTTATCTCTTTTCAAAATTGGCTCTTCCTAGCTGTTTTATAAGTTAGATCCAGCTAATAGAAATTGTTTATTCATTTCTTCTGAAGCTGGCCTGAGACTTCAGAACCAAATATTGAGCTAACAGCCCTATATGTGGTTTGTTTCAAATTGCTTGTTATAAAAAATTTGCAAGTCATAATCAGGGCATTTTTGTTACTTGTCGCCTTGGTATAACACAGAATAATTTATTGCTGAAACACATTCTGCTTCTGGTGAGTCCTACAGACTGAAAGGACTGTTGCAGTTTTCATTATAAAGCAATTTCATTGTCGAAACACTTTTACACCGGTCTTTTAAAAGACCATTGCAGAAAGCATGTAACCATGTGGTAAGAAGGAAACCCCTACAGTGGGTTAAATATAGTTTAAATGCAGTGAACTTAAACTCTAGTAACCTTCTTACAGCGCAAGTGCAGGAAAGCAGCTCTTGTAGGGGATGGGTGCGACTTAGCTGAGCAAACTGTTATGGGGAGGAAGTTATGGCAGAAGTTTAATGACGGCACTATAGTCATATCTAGACTTCACTGAATTGGTAGCAAACCCCCTGATCTCCCCTGAGATTTGGCTGGGGGTTTAAATGCCTAGGGCAAAGGCCAGGCATGCGTCTCTTAGGGCTAAAGTCCACGGGGACAAGTCAGAAACCCCTTATTCCAGCGCTCCCCACCCCAGAAGCATCCGTATTTTCGGACTTCCCCTATGTCCGAACACCTAGGCACACAGAAACGCAGTCAAGGACCCTCCTGTGAGCAATAAGCCCCCGGATCCTGGCTGAGCTCCACGGTGGTTCAGAGCTGAAATAAAGTCCCTAAACTCTGCCTGAATCCCTGCCTTTTTACGCCTGTTTGAATAACGCTAAGCGTGCAGCAACAGCACTAGAGTCAGCATGGGGCTGACGTCCCTTGCATCCAGAACCTCAGGTCTGGTCCCTGCTTCCCCAATTCAGGATGCGGTAAACATTTGCCTATCTCTAGCTCAAAACAAGGAGAGGGAACCACGGCTCGGGACTTCTCTCTGCCAGCCATCATCCCACCACCAGGCCACAGAATTGCCTCTCCTGCAGATTTATAGTTCTGCATCCTCTGGAGCGCTTGCGCCCAGGGCTGCAGAGCAGACAGCTCTAGAAGGAGTGAGGAGAACTTAACTAATTTGAAAAGGCACCTAAGGAAAACTAGTGTTTTTTATCTCATTTAATTGTGGCTGTGTAATTAGAACGCTCTCCTGGGATGTGGAGGATGCTGGTGTCAACACCAACCATGGGCAGGGAGAGGAGGTGTCCTGAGCCTGGCAGCGGGCTGGGGCGGCTGT